CCATAAAAGGTTGTAGTGCCACTGATTTAATTTTTTATTTTGTACTTAATTAAGTTATTTAGTCAAAATATAAATACTTTGTCACAAGATAATAGATATTTTTGTGAGTACATGTGTAAGTATGGATGAATAAATCTATTTAAAAAAAGGTACAAAAACAAGTGCCATAAAGCTTTCTCTAAGTTTTAAACAGGTGGAAGTAGGCAGGTGTTTGTTCGGCCTCTAATTGTCCAATTAATTTCCAGTTGGGCCGTTTTGTTATAAGAATTTCGTTATTGTTTAGATGTAATTAACTTTACGAGTCTGTTTCTGTTTGACAATGGGAAATTGACTGAGTGGTTACGTCTATAAAAACAAAAACATAGAAGTAACAACAGAATTAAAATATGTTTAGATAGGTTAATGGTTTAGTGGTAGCGAATCATCGCCTTATTTTTTTGTTTTTAGTAACAGGAGGCGAACGGGCAGGAGGCTCATTTGATGTTAAGTGATACCCATGGACACTCACATTGCCAGGAGGCTCGCAAGTACGTTGCCGGCCTTTAAAGCAATGGTACACCCTTGTCTTGAAGGACCCTAAGTTGAATCGGTTCGGAAATACTTTAGTGGGCAGCTGGTTCCACATAGTGATGGTGTACGGCAAAAATTGCTTTAAGAATCGCTCATTTTATATTGAAAGTCAATACCTGGCTCAAATACTTAACATCATTAAAAACAAATGAAACACGAAATTTTACCAAAAATATTTATTAATATTTCATGCACATTACAAAACACATTAAAAATAATAAGAATGAAAACAAAATCAAAAATGAAACTTAGGCTTTTCGCCGAATTGTCAACTTATGTGAACAAATTGAAATACATTAATAATTGACATGCACAATTTTGTCCTATTTGCCCATACAAAGGTTGCTAAAAAAATATCATGAACACATGCATTTCATTTTATAATTATTTTTTTCAAGATCTACAGTGATTTTTTCCGAATACATCAGTCAATTAACAATAAGCAAAAATTTCGTTAGCAATATCGTCGCTGCGCGTGCAATACCGCGGAAGAGCACTTTGTTAATACCGCGTAACAGCAAAAGGAACAAAATTGAGATATCGCGCCAATAGATCCTTGATGCGGATTGGCTTAAACTAGCTCTCACGCAATTTGAATTAGCCAATGGGAAACCTCTTTTTTGGCATCGTAGCAATACAGCGGAACAGTAGTATGCCTGAAGTTGGCTGCAAGTCCGCGTATTTACCCAAACGGTGAAGAAATTATGACACGATTACCGCATGCTCCCGAAAAAATAAGTTTTGCTTAGGATAACGACCATGTTTGGTACTGGTACTTTTTGATTGTTTATAAGCTTTATATACTAATTTATAAACATATTTATGTTTGTGTTTATGCTTAAATGCTGTAGGCTACGTCAAATTCTGTAATAATTTATTGACGCGTAGTTACGCGGTTGCGGTGACATTACGTTATTTAGTTGTGTCGGTAATTTACGCGGTATTGCATTACAAACAAATTTACAGGTTTTTAATTTTTATTTTTAGATACATACATTCAAGTGTCAAGTAAGCACATAATAATGGAGGATCGAAATCCAGATGAGTTTTTTTTAGAAAATGCTGACTTGAACAGTAACGTGGTAACTCTGAAAGAACTGGGTGAACGGCGTAAAATATTGCTCAAAAAGAAGAGAGAAATATTAAATAGGCTTAATTATCAAAATCAACCAAAATCGCAAACAGTCCCCATCCCTGCGTCATTACATCCAGAAAGTCAAAATCAAAATTTGACATCCGAGTTTACTACACTTACCACTGTAACAGTTTTAAATCCCGCTTTAACACAAAATGATGATGATAGTATTATTACTCCCATAAATGTGAACGTTAATGTAATAGAGCAAGATAACGGTGGCCTTGACTTTTCATCTGATGATTCAGCTGCAGATCCTTCTTTCGTTGCTCTCTCAGATATAACGAATGTAAAGCCATTATCACCAGAAAATGTGGAATGGTTTCCCGAAAGGGAAATAGAACAAACATCAAAGAGAAGGAAGTGCAAAAGGAATCCAAATAATTGGGAAAGAACGAAAAATAAGCGACAGAGAATGATGGGAAAGGAGTATAGAGGATTCAAAAAAGATGGTAATAAATATGTACAAAATGATCCAAAACCAGCAAGAATAATGGGTCCACTATGTATGTCATCGCGATGTTTCGGTGGTAAAGCTATGTATTGTTCAAAATTAACAGAAGAAGTTCGATCAAACATTTTTAAAGACTTTTGGAATATGAGTTGGCAAGAAAAGAAAATGTATGTATCTTCAATGGTGGATCTGAAACCGACAACTAGAAAAACTAAAAGCTCAAACTCAAGACGAAGTGATACCAAAATTTACTATTTAAAAGTTAACGATAAAAAGGAAAGGGTTTGTTTAAAAACATTTTTGGAAACCTTGGGTATAAAAGAATGGACAGTAAGGTATTGGCTAGGGGAGAAAAAGAACAAAAGTAATGAATCTGAACCAAGAGATACAGCAGTCACAGAACCCAAAAGAGAATTAGCTAGAAAATATTTAACTGCATTACCGAAACTGCCGTCCCATTATTGTAGGCAATCTACTTCAAAATTATATTTAGAACCCATAATCCAATCAAAAGCGCAATTGTATCGTCTATATGTAGACTATTCATTTTCGGAAAATGAACCACGGGTAGCTTCAAGAAAAGTATTTGAAAGTATTTTATTTGAAGAGAATATAGGGTTGTTTCAGCCTAAAAAAGATGCATGCGACCAGTGCTGCGCTTACAAAGCAGGTAATATATCGCATGAGCAGTATACTGAACATATTGAACGGAAAGACTTAGCTAGAGCTGAAAAAACTTCTGACAAAGAAGCGGCACAGAAAGGTGCCATACATGCATTAACAGCAGATCTTCAAGCTGTAAAACTATGTCCTTTCCTCAATGCGAGTGCACTTTACTTTAAAACAAAACTTGCCGTCCATAACTTTTCCGTCTACAATCTGGGTAATAATGGAGTCACTTGTTACTGGTTCGATGAGACGGCATGCGATTTAAAAGCCACTACATACGTTTCATTTTTTATGGATTATTTGACCAAATTACTGGATAATGATCCGAAGGACGTTGTGATATTTACAGATGGCTGTACAGCGCAGAACAGAAATAACATTGTCTCCAATGCATTGTTGCGTTTGGCTATGGCTAAGAACATAGTTATTACTCAAAAATATCTAGAAAAGGGCCATACTCAAATGGAAGTAGATTCAGTTCATTCGGTGATTGAGAGAAAGCTGAAAAATCGGGAAATTTTTTACCCTCACAATACGCCACGATCACGAAGGAAGCGAGAAAAGTACCAAGTCATTACGAAGTTATTACACCTGATTATACATTTTTTAAAGACTTCGGTCTTAAAGAATGCTTGATTTATGACTCAATAAGACCTGGTCGTGGGGCGGGTGATCACTGTGTCGTTGAAATAAAAGCACTCAGATACAATCCAAGTGGCACAATAGACTATAAGCTCCGCTTTGCAGATGATTTTATTCCTTTACCAAGACGGCCAAAGAAAATAGTTCCGATTGACAGTGTGCCTTCACTTTATGAATCTAGACAGCCAATATCCAAGACCAAGTATGATCACTTACAGGAGCTTAAGAGTGTCATACCCAAAGACTGTCATAGTTTTTATAACTTACCTTATAAATAATGTTCTTATTGTGATTGAGAGGCTCAATGCTTTAATTATAATTATTTAAATGAGAGTTTAAATTATTAAAATTATTATGTTTTGTTATGTTTATTTGCTATTTAATGTTTTTGTTTGCTAAATTGTACTCAATAAGTATGAGTACTTTTGAATAATTTAGTTGATTGTGAAAACAATTCCTATTTTTCACAGTCAACTAAATTATTCAAGGCACTAGGGTTGTAACTGTACCTACAGTATTCAATGATTAAAAGCTAATTTTACTTATTCTGTATTCGCACAAAGCGTTTAACAAAGATTACGTTAAAATATTTTCTGTGATTTTAGAGGAACCTAGGAGACTGATCTCTAAGAAAACTACTTTTTTGGTAAGTTAAAGAGATGAACTCACAACGTCTTACTTAATACAAAATTTAATACCTAACTTCGTTAATTCTCTTGAGATTAGAAGTTCAAATCTTAAACTTACCAATAAAAAAGTTTTTTTATTTACGTAATGTTAAGTATAGATGAATGTTGATAGAGAATAGTAAAAAAAATATTATAGTTTCCCTGTACTTCTTTTAAAACGTTTATAAAAAGTTTTTTCTGTGTATTACTAAGTAAAAGATGTGAACTCCTTATGAAAATAAAAATCTATTCCTCGTCCAACTAATGAATAAAATATTAATTTTCTACAGATTAGAAGTTTTTTTTTTATAAGAAGCTCACATCTTATACTTAGCAAAAATAAGTTTTCTTTATAATGTTGATTATTAATAATAGAATGATATTATTGTTTTTCTGAAAAATTTTTGCTTTTTATCACAATTAATAATGTTTTCTAATAATAAAAAAAAAATTCAAACCCGCGTACTTACTGATACTATACTACTTTTTCTATCAATTGTTGCAACAAAACCGCGTAAGTGATTTTACACGGAATTTACGGAAGTTACAAATAAATTTACACTATTACTCCATAAAGTAAGCCCCAAACTAGTAGTGATAGAGTTCAGTCAGCAAAATGTAGTTAAATGACTGAGATATTTAGTTTTTTCTTCTTCCTGTAAAATCGCAAAAACGCAGATACGCGGTTTTTACAAAGTGCTCTTCCGCGGTATTGCACGCGCAGCGACGATATGTGAAAGCTAGATGTCATAATAGTGTCATACTGAAACTACAAGTAAAAATGAAATTCTTCACGTCACTGGGTCAAATAACAACTAAATTAAAAACTTACTTAAAATACTTATTTATGCTTTCGGTATAATCAATGACTATTAGCCGTAGCATTTGCCACAGTGGCGTTTGTGACAGGTGGAAGGGGCACCAGGAGATCAGCAAGTCGACCTGCCTCGCGAAGTCCCGATAGAAATGCCCCGTGAACCGTCGCTGGGTAATTACGCATTGTATGTTCACCTACGACAATAAAACACCTATTCATCCGAGTTATGTTACATATAAATACTTTAGTTAATAATTAGAATAACTTAAAGCCAATATCGAGTTTTTACTACACTCATAAATTGTATTTTAACATTCTCGTTTCCGATAATGTGCAATAATATAAGCGGCATTTGTGAACCCTTAGATAAACCAAGTTAGTTTTTGTTAGCGTCGCAACTCCACTACCCTTAATTGTATGTTAGTTATAAGCTCATATTTTAATCGGTTAAAGTGAGTTGTTGCCCAGCTTTAAACAAAACGTTTTATTTGAGGATATCCATTCAACAACCGCCACCAAACTTAATTCCCGGTGATTTTTTTTTAATAAAATTTTACAATAATGAGTATACATTTTCCATCGTGAAAATATCAAATCAAAAATTTACAGTTAGACATCGAATATCTAAATTGACAATTTATAAATCACTTTGATAGATTATAAAAGAGTATGTAGTGACATGAATACGAAAGGGAATGTTCAGGTGGTTTGGCCAAGTAGAACGGATGAATGAGAAGCGCTTACGAGTAAGACAAGGCGACCGTAGATAGTGAGGTCAGTTTGAGTAGGCCTAGTCCGGGTCCGGGTTTCTGTAATACCGAGTCCTATTATAGAAGGTCCGGGACAAAAGTAGCCATAACCGACGAGCATGCATAGTAAATGGCATGAAACTGGATAAAGCGAGAGAGAAATGTGGAGATCCGTGGTCTCTGCCTTCTTCTTCGGGAAAATGTATGAAAAATCACTTACCGGCAAAGAACAATCTGTTCTCCCCAGAAGAGTCAGGCACGGGTGCCGCTAACAAGTCATAGTCAGCGCCTGACGAACCCACGGCTACGAAACTGTAGGATCCGCGTGCAAATGGATCTGCTCGCCATCTGAAAATTCAATTCGTAGGAAAATTATATTTTTATTTATTTTGATTTTTATACAATTAATTTCATCTCATTTCTAGAAAAATTGCAGTTGCATGTTCCTGCCAATCAGACTCTTTCTATTTTCTCACATCAACACCAACAATGCAAAAAGTCAGTTTTGTATCGCGCAGCCCGGACATACCCCGACCACTATTTAAGCCTTGACTTCTTTAAGCTATCGCGGAATATACTTAAAAGGAGTATTAAGAATATCTATAGCGCTAATTCATTCATGCACCCCCACATATACATCCTCACGTATGTACATACCCTCACTTTCACACAATCACACAGCACAGCCGAATTAGGAATTACGTATTAAATAATTTTTTTCTTTTCGTAAATATTTGAACCTTTTTATATATATATATTGTTTATTTCATTTTTGGCTATATCTTTAGTATAATTACTTTTTGATATATAACTTATGTTAGATGTCCTACATACGACATAAAAACATAAAAATACCTAATATTTACTGGCACAGCGACCCAAAGGATACAATTTTATATAGACTTGTTTTATTTAATTTTACTCTTTTTGTAATAGTAACTAATTATGTTTTATTACATTATTTTATGTATACATTAATTATAAAGGAGAATCTTGCTGTAAATCACTTTGAGTACTGGTTTAATAATCATACATTAATAACAAATAATTGTATCATTCATTAATACCTAAGGGCACCCGAGCTTAGGATTTCATTTGACTTAGTATATTTTCAAAATACAAAGTCAAACGGAATCCGTTCACATAAAGTATGTGTCGAACGATGCGATTACCACACAATTGCGCAGACGCAAATGTACATCGCTCTACTTTATGTCGCTCGCACAATGCGCTCGAATTGCGATCCGCATACGAAAACATACTCGTACATCAAGCTATTCTTGCAACGTCATACATTATGGAGGACTTCCAAGATGTCTATTATAGAAAAATACATAGACGACAATGTTATATAATTAAATTAAATAATCTGTTTAATGATCATTTGTTAATCTAATAGGCAAGTAGGTAATCACCCTCTTTTGCCTGACACAAGCCGTCGATTTTTTGGGTCTAAGCCGGTTTCCTTACGATGTTTTCCTGCACCGTTCGTGGGAATGTTAAATGCGCACATAGAAAGATAGTACATTGGTCCACAGCCTGGGATCGATTAGGTTTAATAAAAGTCCAATTCACAATTATACAATGCTTTAATGAGCTTGGGAGCAATGCGTACTATGTACTGAAAAGTAACCTATAGACTACCAACTAAAGGAACTCACCTAGTAACCACACATTCCTTGGGCTGTGGTACAGCAGCGTGACCAAAGATGCTCTTCAGCACGGCGATGCAGCGCCCAACGATGACGTCATCAGTGACGTTCTCCATCACTGCAGCTGCCTCACCGGCGACAAGCGCTAGCAACACTGGAGCGCTGTATAGGTTCCAGAAGAGGAATAATTCACCTAAAGGAAAAAACTTTCAATCATAAGAGGAAGAAATATTTACAGCAAAAAGTGTTTTCTTTTAATATAAACAATGAAAATTGATTTTTCCATCTTTCTTCTCTTGCTTGAGATGATCACTTATGAAAACATTTTTTTAAATCCTAACACTCAAACTAAGTATAGAAAATTAAGTGTAATAGTATTTATTAAACCAGTTTAAAGATTTATTTAGAGCCAAAAAAAAATTATATACCTATAGTTAACTGGTCGGGGATTTTTCGTATCTGACCAGTTTAAATATTTTGATAGTAAAATTGACAACACTAGAAAATACATTTTTTTAAACTGTTTACAACAAAAAATCTTAAATGAAACATAAATTACGTTAAACCTCGACTAACTGAATTACGGGAACTTTTAATTTTAATTTTATCTGAACTTAGGAAACCTATCTATTGTAATCTAAGTCTTATAACAAAAGTTAATCTAAGTCGGTTAAGTCCAACCCTTTTCAGGCTTCGACGGAGGCCAGCTTAAAACTTATAAACCTTGCTCTTAACAATGTGTAATGGAAAACTGTACTAATATGGTGCATGGTAAAAACGAATATAGCTTTCGATAATTTTCATTAACTGTGTTTTTGTACGAAGTACAAGTTGTAAGACATGATTTGAATTAAGAATCCTACTTTTAGTTAATTAAACTTTACGAATAGGGTAAAATTGTTAAATAAAAATAAATAAATCAGTGACGCTACAAGCTTTTTGGGACTGTGTCTCAGATTTCTGTATCTGTTTCATGATCATTTGTTAGTCTAATAGTAAGTGATGAAGCCTCCTGTGCCTGACACACGCCGTCGACTTTTTGGGTCTAAGGCGAGCCGGTTTCCTCTCGATGTTTTCCTTCACCGTTCGAGCGAATGTTAAATGCGCACATAGAAAGAAAGTCCATTGGTGCACAGCCGGGGATCGGACCTACAACCTCAGTAATGAGATTCGCACGCTGAAACCACTAGGCCAACACTGCTCGAATTGTTAACAGAACGCAAAAAATAGTACCTATATCAAAAGGCAAAGGTTTTCTGTTAATTTGATAAAAAATACTTAATTGTATAAATTTATAATATTTTTAGTTGAAATTTGGCTATATATAAGCTATAAGTAAATAAATAAATATAAACATAACGATTGAATCAAATATATACCTTCGATTTCAATTATATCGAATTATTTGCACAGAATCTTTGCAACACTACAAAATTACTTTTAAAATGCTGTTTCCAACGCAGTAATTATGCTCGTTCGTAATCATTAAGTGTGAATTCCCACATAATTCGTGATACAACATACAATCAGATACTCAACGCTTTCGCCCGAAAACCTTGCAATTTTGAAAAAAAAACCTCTACAAACGAACTTGTTCCGGTTGTTGTGATCTCACTTGATAACATCTTTAAAACCGCTCTTTTATCACTACTTAAATATCACCACACATATCACAACCACCACGGTAGGTCTTTTCCAACACAAAAGTGATATTTAAATTCATCCTATACCTCGTACTTAATGAAGTTAGCCGAAACACAAAGAGCCAAGGTGTACTAAAGCATAACGTAAAAATGTCTTGTCCCAGTAGTGATTTATCACCAGCAGCTCCCCTCAGGGTTGCGTTGGCGTTAAATTATTCAGCTTTTAATTCGTTATCGCGTCGACCACCGCTGTTTCTACGTTTTACACTATTTACACCGAAATAATTTACGAGTGGCATCCTTGGGGAGCCGAGATGTGTCGGTTAATTTGTGGCTTTTGGGTGTAGTTTAATATTGATATATTTTGCTGCCTGTCGCTGAATATTATAGCTGCGGGAATTATTTACGCAATGCTTTTAAACAATAAAGCGCTTTCAAGAGCTTTTAGGTTATTGCTATGCTGGATTTTGTCAATTTCAGAATTAGCCAGCTTTGACAAGTTTATTGATTAAAAAATACAATTATTATTCAAATATAAGGTACTTTATTACCTGACTTTTCGTAGCTATTTTTTAATTTCATAGAATTTTTAATTTCATTGGGCTTTATAAAATGTATAAATAGATTGTTCTTTTTATTTTTACAGTTTCCGAGCTTTATTAATAAACATTTGTCAAATTTAGAATGATCGGCCCCGTTTCTATAAATATTAAGGGAAAATATTAAGAAAAAATTTAAACTTACAGTTATAAATAAGAACTTTAACGTATAGCTATTATCAAAGTTTAGATCAAGTTTGAGCAAGAATCATGTCTCATATCTGCCTAATTAATTCACTAGTTTTAACCATTTTTTATTTAATTATTAAACTCCAATATCACTCTTATACTTATATTTTATTTGAAACATATAAGTAAAGACATACCTCTGCTTGCAGTAGTTGTTCCCACATGACCGAAGAGATTGGCGCTGGGGTCCCAGAAAATGCGTTCGAAGCACAAAACAACTTTGTTCAAGTTTCCGTATCCCAGACGCTTGATAGCTGAGACCTAGAAGATTAATATTCTATCAAAATCTATCACGTTGATTTACATTAATAAATCTGTTAGTTCTCTTAAGTTATATGGAATATAAACTTCCTTCTTACATTAGGGCTCGTTCTTGGACACACATACATTTTGTAAATAATAATTATTGCTCATTGGCTCATGAAATTATTCTTATACGTAATATAAAATAGTTTTATTTTAATAATCAATTCTACGAGTATTTCTATAATAATTTCCTCCCAGACGTCCTAGGTCTATTAGAAAAACAATTGATATCGAAACAGATACAGAAATCTGAGGCCCGGACCTAAAAGGTTGTAGCTACATACGTAAAATCAAAAACAAATTTTTGGTTACTTTAATAACTACAAACTTAAACCAATTCACAATTGGCAGGTTATCGTACTATTTGAATTATAAATATAATTCGTAAATATATAATAAATATTTCTTCACTTATTCAATAGTAAATTAGACTGTCATGATAAATAGTGTCCAAATACTAACAGGGTACGAATATTGTCATCAAACAGTTCTAGAACTGGGAGCAAACAGGTAACTATGTTACAGGTACTAAGTTAGCAAACCTTCCAATCAGGCAACGGTGGGTCGAACTGGACGAAGTTCTGCTGATTTTGTCCATTGCTAGCCACAGCCACTTTGAGAACGCCGAGCGGCAGAGTGCATAGTAGTACGTCACCTGCAATAAACGTTAAATTTACAACTGCTAACGAAAAATTATACAACATATTCAAACCGTATGAATTCAAACTCATTCACCTTGATGGCTGGAAAGGCTTCCACAGTCCGTTTCACAAGGAATTTTCTTTTGCGAACTAGCGAACTGTGGAATCGACTCCCAGTAATTCTATATAGTGAGAGATACGACCTCGAGTGTACTCCTCCCTCATAGCCCGGCAACGCACCCACTAAAAATGGGTGTCTATGCTGACTGTCCTTTTTGGGCGTTCCGCAGGCTCGATTGCCCCCTTATTATATTTAAAAAAAACCGACCATTGACCACGACGGTTAATTTCGAGATTGATAATTTATTTACAAAAAGCTTGCCAACGCTCAGCAGACTGATACAAAAAAAAATACAAGATTTAATTAATTTGCAAGTAATTTGAAAAAAAATATATATCGATTCATAAATAATAAAAACTAAAGGAAAATTGATTTCAAAGTGTGAGGGAGCAACTATGGATATCCAGACCTAGGTCGCTTATCAGAATGCTCAATCGGACATCGGTGAGTTTTGGCCAAAACGCGATTTTCTGACGTGACTTGTGTGCATAGGACTATTTATTCCATATCTCTTGCCAATGCGATGGTCAACGCAACCACATAATATGACATAGACACTGGACAAACACAGGATAGTCTTTGGTTCACCAGAGTATAATACTAGTTTAACATTTAAACCCGAATATTACAGATTATTGATCTAAATCGAACTTTTCACAGCAGTGGTAAGGGCATTTTCCATTTTTCGTTTCACTCGGATTTTGAATCCGAGACCTTCTGCAATCGAACATACAAATCCACTAAATGGTACTACCTGCCTAAAGATAAAGTTTGTCAGAAATTATTTGTCAAAATCACTAACTGCCTAAAGATAAAGTTTGTCAGAAAATGTTTGTCAAAATCACTACCTGCCTAAATATAAAGTTTGTCAAAATTACTACCTGCTTAAAGATAAAGTTTGTCAGAAAATGTTTGTCAAAATCGTGTATGTCCTAAACTGGCACAATAGTTGTCTCTTCAGGCGCATATATATGAAAACGTATTATTATTATAATTACATCCATTATTATAATTAGTTTGTTAAATATAGATAACAAAGAAACAGTATTTCAATAGACAGCCATTGTATATTTTCAATCGCTCACAAACGCAAACAATTTTCTTAAAAACTACTATTTCGGATAAACTGTCCGCCCATCAAATGTCTATATAAAACGCCTAGCCAAAGGTGCCTGAGGCGCCGCAATTGGCGTGAAAGCTCTAACAAAGCTTCGGCCTACACATGCCAAATAAAGCTCACTTCACTCTAATTGTGAGGTTTTTCCTTTGTGACACTACAAGTGAATGAACACGGCTTATGTTTCTGTTAGACTATTTTAGAAAGAATATATTGTTTAATATTGGACAAGGTGTAATTTATACTGAGGTAATATAATATTGCGATTACTAATTGTTTTTCAACATGAAAGTTAGGAAATAAACGAAACATGATTCCTCATGAAAATGAGGAATTCCTCACCCTAATCTGGTGTGGATTTTCCATACTTTAAGATATTCACAAATTTTCTCAGAGTTATTATTCAACTGATAAATAAAAACTAACTAATAATTTTATCATATACCATAGAAGTTTATGTTATTATAACATAAACTTAAACTACGTGCACATATTTAACATTATAATTAATTAATACAAAACAAAAGAACTTTTTAATGTCCCTCAGTAACTGTTAGTTACAAATGACTTCACATTAAAATATTAAAAACTAACTAAAATTAAATCTATATAGCATACTTCAACCTTCATTAAACTCTAAAAAGTTTTAACTAAATATACTCAATAAAAAAATACAAAAACATATGATACAGTTTCAGTAACGCGAAATAATATTACCTCGACATTTTCAATACAATTTCAAACATTGTTTCCAAAGTAACCGGAACGTACTTTTTCGGCTCATCAAAGTGAAATTAGCGATTTAGACTTGCAAATAAGCCGACGATAAAGAAAATTACAAGGCGCTCTCTCTTGTAAATTCTGATAGGGTCCCTTAATATGACCACTGACGCCCTATTTCCAGCGTGCTGCCTCCATATTTTACGTAAATCTAATTTTTGTTTTACGACGGATCGTTGGATCTTTTATACATAGGACATTTGATTATGCAGAGGGCAAAAGTACAGTTTTATATTGTTTTTCAGCGCTTAAAAAGACCATTATGGCAAAGCTAAATTTATTCAAAGACATAAAATTATGTATAAATAGGCTTCTGTATTTTACTTTAACTATTGTAAATTTTTGGCTATGTATTTAATTATAAAATATTTGAATCGTAATTAAAATATCGTAAAGCGGAAATTGGGAAGCTGGTTCTACCAATATATTGTAAAAAAAAAATATATATATATATATATGTAATTTTATAGAAAACAAAATAAACCCCAAATGGCATCTTGTGAATCATATTATGTCATTTTAAGTAGACGTTTTTAATGGTTAGGCTGCAACGAAAATACCCTAATCAGGTACAAAGGCATGTATATATTTTGTCTCCTTGAATGAAGACCTAGGCAGAACTAAAGACCGCGCATCCGCCCACCACATACACAAGGTGAAGGTTCAAGGTGGACTGACGACATCGTTTAGAAGGTTAGCTCCCAATAGATGCAGAGGCCAGTGCAGGAAGATGGAGGAGGCCTACATCCAGAAAGAAACGAAAAAAGAGGCTGATGATAGTGACGATATATTTCGGGTTGCTTACAAATATCTTACAATAGTGATAAGACCTCAGAGATTGACTTGAGTTAAAGTATTTAATATGGGTGCAATACAGTTTATTATGTATTGAAACAAATATCTACATAAAAAAATATATTTGAAATCTTGCTGTGTTCAAAAAAATATCATATTATATAAAAAATTTTTGGAAGCGAAATCGAATGATACTCAATATAAGTCATGAAATTAATATAAAATTTATACCACTTATTACTTAGAATCTAAATGTACTAGAATTAATCGTCTTCATTACCATAATCACCGTATTATATTCACAATGAAACGAACATAATTTGTACCCAATCATTTCCGAATAAAAATTAAACAGGAATCAATTGACAGTTTATAGATTACGATCGTATGTAACTGTCATTTGCGCATAATTTCGCTGCGAAGGGCCGCAAATTTGTTCGCATAACGATATATTATGAATATTAATACTGATCAAATATTTTATTTTTAGATAGGAAAGAGATTACATAAATAATTAATAATGATTAAATAAACAGAACCTGAGATTAATAATTTTTACTTACACTAGTAGTAAATAAAACAGAAAGCTATGTAGAAATGTACTATAAGCCTTGATTATTTAAGTTTTTTTTTTTTCTTGTTTTTGGTTTCCTAACGTTTACCTGATGTTAAGTGATACCGCCACTTACAGACACACATTGCCAGAGGGCTCGCAAGTGCGTTGCTGACCTTTTAAGAATTGCTACGCTCTTTTCTTGAAGTTAAGTCGAATTGGTTCGGTAATACTTCAGTGGGCAGCTGATTTCACATAGTGGTGGTGCGCGGAAAAAACTGTCTAGTTGTAGAACGACGGACGTCGAGTCTGCATCGCCGTCCGAGGATGAAATTCCACTGAACACTCTCCACGTTGCACTTTTTCACAGTAAGAATGAGTGCTTTGTGCATACATAGAAAAGCCCATTGATGCACAGCCTCCGAGATGGGTCGCATGCTTAAGCCTATACTGCTCTGTGTGATTTCTTTAAATAAATACTTTTTGAATGAAAGGTAAAAGGTCCTAGTTTAACATTTAATATTTAACATTCATTAATTATTTCACGTATGAAGAAGGGGCATATTTTTTCGATTACCCTATTTCACACATCATTAACTAAAACAAACATTATATGGTAAAGAATAAAATAAATACCCTTAAATGTTTGAGTCTGCCCTGGTACTCTCGGATTAGCTGCCTTCACGGAGACTCCAGGCCCTCCATACGAAATCTCAGTGATGGAAGTACCGAGCCTGATATCCAAGCCCTCAGCCAGGGCCACCGGAACACATGAGTATCCATTGCGAACTGAAACAATTAGTTTAAATTAAATTTCTATAATTAATATCAATAATATCAATAAATAATAATAATAAGGTCAATAATATCTATAATCTATACATATATTATACAGCGAGAGCTTTTATTTTTTATATTTGTAACGTATAAACTCAACTACTGTACGATTTTGTTCCCTTTGGAGTAGAGACTCTCAAGTCTACATGCGCTAATTAAAGATTTAAGTTGGCACCTGGTAGGTAGTACCGATGACACCAGCGCTGGTGCTTCCCTCGCTCAACGAATAAGACGTATCGCGATACAGCGAAGAAATGCTGCCAGCGTTAAAGGTACACTATTTCGATTTGTTTAAATTTTCCACTTATTTTATTTTATTTTTAATTATTATTATTACTATGTAGGTTAAGAAAATTGTATTTTATTGTTATGTTTAGATTTTAAGAAACGAACTACTGGACCGATTTTAAAGCTTCTCCTTTCCATATACATGCATTATACGTATACGTGTATTTGTATTAATCTTAGATTTTTATTTTTATTAAATCATAATGATAATCTTATTTATTATTTCACAACAATATTTAGGCGATAGTGCAAAGTCGTCAAAGGACAACATTAAACAAATGAAGCAGGCATTTAGCTGTAATAACAAGGTAATTCAATAACAAAGCTTTATATGAAGTAAAACAATTGTTTTCGAGAATAATTGTCCCGTTAAAATCGTTTAAAAATGCTACGATAGATAGGAATAAGAATTTAATTAATTCCAAGAGTTGATTACAGTAAACCAGGAGAGTAAAAAAAGAATACTTTGAAATTTGTTGTAAATTAAATTAAATAACCTTTTCCATTCCATTGCATTTCCCCGTGAGATTTGAAAGCCTTCTTAATACTTCGCGTACTTGCGTTCTGTTAATTATGAATATTTTCAAATGATTCAAGTACCTACCGAGATTTGTATTCAACGGTTGTTAATACATATTCTTAAAATTAAGGTAGTAATATTTTTTAACAATATCAACTTTCAAAAAAGTGCAATAGATTTTTCTTCATAAGTGACTACTAATTATTAAATATACTGAAATAATTTAAAAATGGGGTCCAATTCGTAGTACGGAATTATATTTTCAATTAAGGGACAATAAAGTTGATTCGACAGTAATTATGTCAAGCGGGCAATGACCCCAACGGCCTAGTTTCCGTGATGGATTTAAATTCAATTACGATATACGAATACGACGTATCTATCGTTTAAATCCGTATTCATTAAGATGATCAATTAATTCCTAATCTGATTACCGAGGAGATTAAAAGACGAGCGCTTTAGTGAAATTTCTTGATATCCATTACAGAACCATGCGTCTGCGAACTGTAAACTAATGAAATTGCTTAACTGACTATGATAATTCGATATAAATACCATTTCCTACAACGGCCACCGATTAATGTGAAAATAACATCGTGTTATCGATAATCCATACAATCGTGTTAATTGATGAGATACGACGGGAGCTGTGGCACTCGCGAGTGTCATTAATATTAATGAAAAATGTGTTCGGAAATAACGACTGCCACGTGACATAGGATGCAAATTGATTAAAAATTATACGTCTGTTAAAACAATGTGGGATAAGTTAATTTATCACAATCACGATACATCAAACAAATGATGCGTTGGAGATTAATCATCGGAATCAGTTGAATTACTGATAACGTTATAACGGTTGAGCTTTGTAAATTATGTACTACATACATATATTTTTAACACAATTCTTTTATGTATTGTGGCGATACATTTTAGTTATGTCGCCTTAATAATTGTAACTGTAATAAAAAAGGCATAAAAAAAGTTACAATTTACTTTTGGCATTTATTTTGTGGGAACTATTGTAAAAAGGAAAGAGATAGTCTGGAAATGTGGTATTGGAGGCGGATGCTCTGGATTTCCTGGAGAGCTAAAAAAGCAAACGTATCCATACTAAGACGGTTACAGGTAAATATAGTATTTGGACAACTTGTTTTGCATGTGTAACACGAAGAGATCCAGAAAGTTTAGAAAAACTTATTGTGATTGGCAGAGTGGAGATCACCAATCCCCTACTTACTGGACCGATCGAGTAAAGGCCCTTACAGGTCTTACCATCACCGAGGCGCCGAGGCCGTAGACGGGGTAGAGTGGAGGAAGTTGTGCGGCGCCACTAACACAACCTTCAGAAATGAAGAGTGCGACTGATGAAGAAGAATTGTAGAGGCAACTTTAATGAGTGTCACTAATCTCAACTGAATGAAAAATAAAAAATTCAACTAGATAAATATTGACACAGAGTACTAACCTGTACTCTGTATCACAGAGTACTAAGCTACTTAAATAATAAAATCTCTCCTTCCAATATACATTTAAAAATTTACGTCAAACGTTGGCGAGCACTCTGTAGTTTTCAATTAGGTTGATAGCCATGAACGGAGTTGTCTATTGTAGTTTAATTTAATAACTTTGAGTGGATTTCTTTGGGACTCCACACATTTATTCACATTTAAACTTGCGAATATAATCACGATTCCCTAAACCAACACACTCAAGCGTCGTCTAAACATTTAGTATACCTTCGTATGGGGCATGGATTATTACTTATTTGTTTTTAAATCATGTATTTTATTAGCCTACTATGTCTTAAATTAGTTACTTTTTATTAAAATCGAACCTGTCACAAATGTTAATACAGAAAATGTAACGGAGGGGAAAGCACTTTAAAGTGCAGAGCGAAAGTACATTATTTTTATTTATTACATTACATAAAAAAGATCAATATTTACACTTACAAATAACATTAGGCGGTATTTAATCAAGGACAAAGGTAGAATAATAAAAGCGTATTAAATACATGTTCTGATTGACGTACGAATATATTTCTAGAGCCCCCATAATGGCGACACCGTCGAGATCGTCAACCAGCACTCGTGACGGGAGTAGCAACTTGCAACTTAATATTTTATGTCCTTACTGTTCTCAAACAGAAACTCACAAAGATTTCATAAAATTTAAATGCAATAACTAGCTTAAGTTTATCATTTATCGTTCTGTTTTAATTTGGTTTTTGTCAAGGGATTTGATTATATAATGATTAAAATAACTTAAATATATAACAAAAAAAACAAATCATTAATAATAATAATTTAGCATTGCTACAACGTATTGGTTTTGGCCTCGGGCCTCCGCATCTGTTCCACTGACGTATTTGTTTTAAGGCATTGAGGTGATACGGTTTCCGTCTAGCATAACAAAATCAGTCTAAAACAAGCCAATTTTCTCATGATTTCTCATGATTATGAACAATCCTTAAATATAGGAATTAGCGACTGGAACTTATAAAAAAAAAACAATTATCTTCAATTAGGTCTGAATACACCTATTAAGAAGAAATTATCACGGAACAGATAGAGATAACTGTGCCTGCAACCTATAGGTTGTAGCACCACTGGTTTTTTACTGAACGTTTTACTGAACGTGAACCAAACCCAAAATAGTAAACACCACAAACTGTTTGACCGTTAACTGCAAGCCGCTACAATGCGGTTGTAATATTAACTTAGCAAGTGGCACTAATGTTCTAGTCATATATCCCATATGACCATGAAGTCACGTGAAATGAGGATATCGTGCGCTTCATCAGACCTATAAGGAGGATCCCCGAACAGTCTAAGCACTGAATGGTCCGAGAACCCCAGTGACGAGAGTCCAGAAGTTGTTATGTTAGTTTTTAAATTTGGTTAAATGGGTATGATAATAACGATAACGATAAATACATTTTGTTAAAACTTTACTTAGACACGGAGTGCCCCTACGATAAAGGTTGGAAACATGCCAAAATAATAATTATTTCCTGTTGATAGAGATAACCTGATTCGGGTCAAAATATGATCAATAAAACAAATTTCAGAAATACACCATTAAATTTTTCAACATCATAGGTGACTGCAAATGTCTCAGTTAAAAATTTGTAATCTGTTTTGGCTTTGAATACTGTCTAAGTATTTTATTTTATAATATGTATTATGTATAGCTGTATGATTACTTAAAAATAAATAAATAAAATTGTCCTCGGCTACTGTTGCTTAGCCTCGGTTATAATATATAGCATAGCATATAGCTGATTATTTTTCCGACCCAAATATCGACCAATGGAATTGCACCATTCGACGTCACGTGGTACAACCTACATGGTATTATACTGATAATTTTTTGAAAATTTTCTCTGGTAGTTGCTATATATAAAAAACAAAACATGATCCAGTCAAATTAACCACACGTCAAACTGACAGGTTGAATTCAATTGTGAAAATTGGAGATTTTGCATGAAAATGAGTCGATTTGGAGTTTGTTCTCTGTCCACCATCGATAAAAAAGTCAAAGGAAATGTTCCCATTAATACGGAGAAGTCAAAAAAAACAGTTTGGAACCAATTTACTACTTTTTGTACTGAGAGGGAATACACATTGAGTGCTGAAACGAGTGAAGCGCAATTGGCAAACATTATGAAAGATTACGCTTACAATATGAAGAAAATGGATGGAGAAGACTATAAGGAAGGTACAATAAAAATTGAAATTGATATTATAAATATGAAATTCTTATTTGTTAACTGTACATTTCGTCTCATGGTGCAATTCTATTGGCCGACATTTGGGACGGAAAAATAATCCCCCGAATACCACACGAGCTTCAAAATTATCTGGCATTTCCCGATAGGTTCCCTGCAAACAAATAAAGTCGTCAAGTTTTTCAGGAAAAATCAATTAAACTTGACTCCTTCATTTGTTTGCAACTAACCTATCGGGAAATACCCGATAATTTTGAAGCTCTTGTGGTATTATAAGTGAAAATACTGAGGGTAGGTAAATTTTGCAAACAAAATAAATACATTTTGGTAATTTCTATAACACTGACTCCAACCGTTAACGGATAGTGAACCAAACGAAACATCAAACAAATTACCAGTTTGAAGTATAGCCATATATAATTTCCGAGCGTAATTTAGATGAATTGAATTCCAATTAAGAAACGAATAATTTTCGCTTGATGAGAATACCAAAAGTGTTTCATTAATTGATTATCACAAATCGTATATAGGAATGTAATTTTACCTTTTTTATATAAATGCTAAATTAAATTACGCTTAATTACGCTACAGAAGGAGTCTGCAGAAAGAGAGAGAGCACAGCATAAGAACTCTTTTGAGAGATGGAAGAGGAGATTATCACAAATCGTTTAGAGAACTGTTATTTTGCCTATTGAATATAACTGAATACTTAAATTATGCTACATTAGAAGCCTGCAGAAACAGAGAGAGACCGCAGCATACAGAAAATAACAAGGTTCACCGGTCTCCTGCCACCTATGTTGTCCACACTTTGTAGACGTCATACCGCTGATGTCCCGGTTGATTGCGAAAGCGAGACTTTGGGCCTCTTTGATTTGGTCGTGTTGGTACTACCCAAGGGGGTTTTAGTGGGTATAGCACACACCGTTCTGAGTCCGAAGCAAGTTTAAGGAATTACATATTTTGACTCTGGCAAGTCAATACATTTATGAGAATATTTTGTATGTGCGGAAAAATATAGAATCTTTAAAAAGAATAGTAGCTTCCATAATTATAGTACTCGTAATAAAGACAAAATTAGCGCACCAACCAGAAGGCTTCATAAAACGAGTCATTCTTTCCAAGGCAATTGTACACGTTTTTTCAATAAAATCCCTAGTGAGAAACAAGTGTTGTCAATAAATAAATTTAAATCGTACATTAAAGTAAAACTGCTTGCTAAGGCTTATTATAATATAAATGAATATTTAAACGATCCTAGTG